AACGCTCAAAGTAAAAAAAAAAGAGATAAGAAAAAAAAGTAAATAGCGAGAAGGAAACGAAGACACACACGAAAGGAGGATAAAAGTAATAGGAACGAGTGAAGAAAAACGAAGTAAAATAGGAAAAACAAAAAAACAAACAACAGGCTGCTCTGCCTGATGCAACTGTTTTTCTTATTGTTGTTATTTTTCCATTGGACGCAAAGGAAAGCGTGAGGTGAGGGGCGAGGAGGGACCAGCCCGTACGCACTCTTCCGCTGACGAGGTGGGCGACGTCGCCTCCCGTTCAGAAATTCATGTGTTGCCGTTGTTTTTCTGCTTTTGCTTTCATGCTTACGCCGCATGTGAATTGTGTTTGTGTGTGTGCCGTGTTCCCGCCGTATTTACGTTACCGTTTAAGAAAAGAAAAAAAACCAACAGCAACACAGACACATATATTACCTGTGCACACGCACATGCGTGTAGTTACTCTGCCTATTGCACGGGTGCGGAGAAAAGCGTTGTAGACGTATAGACGACTAAAAATACAAAAGAAAAACAAAAGAGAAAGAAACTCTTTTCAAGAAATTTTTGCTCTTCTCTTTCTATTCTCGATACTATTGGGTGGGGTAGCAGCAGTAATGCCAACAAGTACTGAGCGGCGGAACCTCCTCGCGTTACTCGGCTACCGCGTGAGTGTGGAGCTGGACGACGGCTCAACTCTCACGGGCCGCCTTGTTTCGTTGGGGCCAACTTCGAATTTAATACTCACTGATGTAGAACGCGTTAGACCGCTGAAGCGGCGGCGCGGGAGCACGAAGACTGACTGCTACAATTCGGTGTTGTTTGTGCGTGGGAGCAGCGTTGTCTCAGTACGGCACACAAGCGGTATCACGACGGACCGGGGCGTTGTGGACACACTCACAGATCGGCAAATGGAAGCATCAAAGGCCATTCAGATGGCCAGTCAGAGTCTCAACACACCTCTACGGTGAGGGGGCCCTCTGCGCGCAAGGGAGTCATGCGAGAGAGAGAAAGTGTGTGTGTATTTCTGCGTGCCGACATGGTCGCTGAAGTTTTTGCTGGTGCATGGCAGCAGAGTTTTGAATTGGCTTTGGGCGCTGCGTCAACTCAAGGCGATGCATTCACGTGCTATTAGCAAAGATGCATCTGTGCTATTATGATTGCCGTTACGATTACTATTGTTAACTTTGTGGCTGTAACAGCAGACACACATTGACTGTGGTGTACCTTTGTGTGTCTGTATCTGTGTGTGTGTGCTTTGTGCCGTGGTTGTATGTTTCTCGTGTTGCTGAGAATACTTGAATGCACTTCTCCTTTTCTCTGCTTGCATTGCCTTCGTTTCTGCCAGGGGGTCTTTCTTTTTTTTAACCCTATGAGTGCAGTACGGTCGAGGACGACGTCCCGATCGGGACCTCAGCGGTCTGTGCTCTCGGCGCGGAAGGCATCCGCTGCCCTGCCTCCGTTGGTTCGTTGGCAACTTGACGAAAATGGTCGTATTGCCAACTTTGACATGAAAGTGTTGCGGAAGGACGTACTTCAGCGGGTTGAGGATGGTCGTCTTTACACGCTGGAGGAGTGTCGTGCGTTTCTCCTTGAGCTCACGCGCGTGGCGGCCGCGTGGCAGGAGGAGGAGATTCCGCAGTTGATGCTCCTCGTGGATATGCACGAGAGGTTGGTGCCTGGCGCGTCGCTCTCGTTTCAGTGGCCCACAAGCAGTGAAGAGCCCTTGCCGCTGGCGAACATGGCAGGTGTGGAGGGCACGCTGCCGATGCTAAGGAAAGTTGTGGAGGAGGTGAACCGCGCTGTCGCGCGGATGATTGATCGCTTGTGGGAGTCCCGCAGAGAACGTCTGCTTTTTGCTGCCCGCCTACTGCAAGACATCGAGCCGCAGTTGCAGGGGGTGGATTGTGGCGCTGCGTTGGCGTAGCGAATCAGGTGCAAATCGCAAGCCCCATCTTCTGATGTAGTTGAGTCGCCCAGTCATTTTTTCTGCTTGTTTGCCGCCTCTTTTTCGCTCTATTCTATGCTGCTGCTTCTTCCTCCTCTTTATCCTGCTCCTGCCCCTGCTTCCCGCTTGTTTCTTTCCTTATTGACGCGGAGTGAGGGAGGGAGGAGGGGGCAGACATGCTTTTGCGGGGGGCGGAGAGCGCCTCTCGGCCTGCACTGCACAGTTCCCTTCACCTGCGATGCCGGCCCTTGCTGTCGACAGAGGAGAGGCTGGAGGAGGCGACTCACCGCCTTGAGAAGAGCCCCGGCGATGTACAGGCGTTACTGTGGCGCGCGAAGTTACTCATGCGTTTGGGGGATTACCAGGCTGCTCAGGCGGGCCTCTCTGTCATGCTTGACTCACTGCGGGGGAAAACTGACGCGTCGCAGCTTGTGAGTGCCTTTTTCCTTCGAGGGGTTTGCCGCGTGAAGCTGTCGTGCACTGACAAGGCCATCAGCGACTTCACCGCGGCACTCGACATCGACCCCTCCCACAGTCGCTCCACGTATGAGCGTGCCGCGTGCCATAACCGCAAAGGGAATTACACCGCTGCCGTCTTAGACTACGAGAGGGCCCTGCAGTGTGACGCAGAGCGTGACAGCGATTTCACAACGTGGCGTCAGAGTCTCCGAAGCCGATTTGCACAGGCGCGTCGCCACCAGCGCCCTTCCGCCCCGCCTTTGGGGGGCGCTGATCCCCTTCGACTGGAGGCCTCGTTGCCTCGAAAGGTGGGAAGTGTCCGGCGAAATGGCGGCGATGGAAACCGACCGCCGCTTGCCCCGCCGCTTGACGCGTGCGTGAAGACGCCAAGCCGCATGCCAGAGACGTCAAGGCCGAGTCTCGCCGTTGGGACTCCCATCGACAGCCCTGAGCGAACGCAGGTGGTGGTGCCACCGCCACCGTCGCCGCCGACATCATCGTCGTCGTTGCCTGGCAGCGAGGCGGCAGAGCTTCACCACCAGCGTGGGTTGGCGTATCGCAAAGAGGGTGATTTTGTGCGCGCCATTGAGGAATACTCCGCGGCCCTTCGCCTTGATGCCAATAATTTTAAGGCCTTGTTTAATAGAGGGTTTTGCAACGACAAGGCTGGGGACTACGACGCGGCAATCCGTGACTACAAGGCTGCTATGCAGTTGGAGCCAGGATACGCCTACACTTATTACAATCTCGGCATATCGTACGATCGTTGGGGCGACCACTACAAGGAAGCCATTGCCATGTTTGACAAGGCCATTTCCTTGGATGCCGACAACGCGGATTTTTATCATAACCGCGGATTTAGTCAGCGTAAGCTGGGTAACTACCGTGAGGCTGTAAAGGATTACACCACGGCGTTATCCCTTGATCCCAACCACTTCAAAGCCTACTACAACCGAGCCTATTGTTATGATAGACTGGGTGAGGGCACAAACGCCATTGCGGACTACACAAAGGCGATTTCTATTCAAGATGGTAACCCCAACGCCTACCACAACAGGGGAGCCGCACTGGAGAAGGCGTGCCGGCTTGACGACGCGGTTGCAGACTACACACGGGCTCTTCAACTGGATAATGTAAATCCCTTCACATACAATGCTCGCGGTATGGCCTATGACAGACTTGGCAAAAGTGAGGCGGCGTTGCGAGACCTGGCGAACGCTATTGCACTCTCGCCCAATAATGCCATATTTTACCAAAACCGCGCTTTTGTTTTTCAGAATATTGGACGTTTTCCAGAGGCTGTGCGTGACTACAACACCTCCCTGGCACTAACCGACGAGGCAGGGGCGAGGGCAGGGACAGGAGCGGTCATTGGTGGAACTTTTTCTGAAAGCAAGTCCACGCCGGAGGTGAGTGTGATGGTTGTCAGGCAATGCATCAACCGTGGCTTCTGTCTTGCAAGAGAGGGCCAGTACGAGGCAGCCATTAGTGATTTCTCAAGGGTCCTTGCAGCAAACGCTGGTAACCCCATAGCCTTGTATAACCGTGGCATTTGCTATGATAAGGTGGGGAAGCACCAGCTTGCGGCGGATGATTTTTCCTGCTTACTTGAGTCGGACGCGGAGAACGCGGACGCACACTTTGGCCGTGGGACGGCGCTGGAGAGTATGGGGGAGTATGCCATGGCGCTGGACGACTACGCCGTCGCATTTAAGCTGGACGTGGATCACAGTGGCCTGGTGGAGGAGAGCGCCTTGGCAAAATTGAAGTCAGAGCATCGAGCCATGGTGGCTTCCCAGCGCGTCCTGCGGCTTCTAAATGGGGGGAAAACAGTACCTGCGACTGCACGAACACCGTCTTAACTGGCCCGAAATTGCGAAGCCTGAAATGGATGCCTTCAGTACCATGGAGTAATGACTCGAGTTTTTTTTTGTCTCCCCTATTATTCTTTGGCGGGACTGTTGGCGCCATTTCTGTAACACTACGCCAACTCTTTATGTCTGTACTTGTCGTTGTCCTTCTCTTGGCTTTCCTGGTGATTGTGCTTGGCTGTGGGTTCGCATTGAACGCGGGTGCCTGTTATTTTGGTTCACTCCCTCCTGCGTGCATAACTGCGTGTGCGTGTCTCTGCTTTGCAGTTGGTCATGTCAGGGGAAAGTAGAGAGGCTCTAGCGGCGTTTAGAGAAGAGCACTGCGCCGTGCTTGCGCTTCTGGCACATGCAGCGAGGCAATGCGTGGATACGCGAATGGGCGAGGCGGTGTTTGAGGCTCTCTGTTCCGCGGAGCCCGCACTAGCACAACTCTATCCAGAGGTGGCATTGCTTTACAATATACACCAGGTGCGCCGCGCCCTCCGCGATCGACAAACGTGCCCACCAGAGTCCATGGTGTCCTTGTGTGACACACTTTGCACCGCGCTGCGGGGCATGTACGACGTCCTCCCTGACCTCTTGTTGCTCGTCGTTGCCGAGGCGGCGGAAGTGCTGCAGCAGCGAAATCCCTCATGCCATGCGCTGGAGTTGTCCATCCTGAACTTGGTGGAAAACATTCAGTCGGTGCTCTTGCAGGAGACAATGTCGTTGCAGCGTCGCGGGGCCTCCATAACTTTGCGGCTCAGAGATATCCCTCCTTTTGTTGTGTGATTCGCGCCTCACAGTTTTTTGGTGTTGTTGTTGTTGTTGTTTTTGCTTCCAAAAGAATTGGACTAAAAAGTGAAGGGAATTCCCGTTCTTTCCGGCAACAGGTACTGAATGCGTCTCCTGTTGTTTTATGCCTGGACTCAGCGAGAAGAACAGGCGCGTGAGAAGGCAGGGAGAAATGTGTGCAGGTGCCACCAAGCAAGGATCCTGAATAACCTCTTTGGATCTTGCATTTTGTCCTCCCTACACACACGCTCATTCGCTCTTTCTTTCCACGACCTCTCCCTGCTTGCTTCCCCTGGCTAGTGTCTCACGTTTTTAAGGGAGTAATAACAATGCTTGAGTGTGCGACGGTCATGTCCGCAGTCCTCACCATGGCGGTGGGGATGCTACTTATTGACATCTCGGCCTTGCAGGAAAACATGGTTTGCACAACGGACTACAGTAACGCAAGCAAGTGCCCAGAAGTCTTCTTTGCCCAAAGCTACCATGCGGCCAGAATGAAGTTTAAGGAGGCGGCCCAAGAGGCGGGTGCGGCGTGGGAGCAGCACAGTGTTCTCCAAGAAGACGGTTTCGACTACACCGTTGATACCGCGTTTGTGCGTGGAAAACGCTCCAAGAACCTCCTCGTCCACATGTCTGGCGCACGCGGGGTCGACGGATTTACAGGGAGTGCCGTGCAGGTGAAGCTGCTGCGCGAGTGGAACAGCAGTCGCGAGGATGGTCCGTCTGTGCTTTTTGTGCACGCCGTCAATCCGTATGGCATGGCGCACTTCCGTACTTGCAACGAGGAGAATGTCGACCTCGGTAGCAACTACCTTTCCCCGAAGGACTGGGAAGGGGTCTTGGCTCTCAACCCAAACAGCTCTGGCTACGATGAGGTTTTGGAATCGTTGCAGATGTCGCGGGCCCCGCGTTTTATTGACCGCTACATGTTTCTTTTTCGCCTCGTCAAGGGGATCGCCACAAAGGGCCTCGGCGTCCTCAAGCAGACTCTCTCCACCGGCCAGTATCACCGTTCCGATGCTGTTGGCTTTGGTGGTCATGGGGAGCAGCGCGCCATCACCGTCCTTCGTGAGATACTCAAATCACAGTCCATAACGGGCATTGAGAAATCGATTCTGTTGGATGTGCGTACTGGCCCCGGCAAGGAGGGAGCAGAGACGATTGTTCCCAGCTCGCGTGAGGATGCGGCCATCGCAACGACCATCTTCACGGGCGCAAAGGTGGTGAGCAACAACGGCGGTGCGGAGTCGACGGGTGACATTGTGCCACGCGATATCCTTGGCGAAAACAGTCTCACCTTCAAGGAGACTTTTGGGACGATGCGGTGGCTCTTCGTGGTGCGTGCGCTGTTTCTGGAGAATGCGGCCTGCAACTACGCAAAGGGGAGCCACACCCACGCCGTGATGCAGGAATGGGTGCGGGATGCCTTCTACCCGCAGACAATGTCGTACAAAAATGCGGTGCTGAAGAAGGGCGTGATTGCTTTCAACTGTGCGTGGAGGCATTTATCAGAAGCCTAGTCTTTTTCGCTGAAATTGCCGGTGGGGTAGAGATAACTTTCTGGCTGGGAGGCACCTGGGCGCTCTCGGAGGCGGGTGCCGTGGTGGGGATGCTTGGCGTGTCCGTGAAGAAGCATCCAACCTGCCTCGAATGAAAGTATGGATAATTCAGAGCAACATGGTTTATATATATATATTAATTTTTTTTACTCGTTTTCTCCCTTTCTTTATCTCTTTCTCTCCCTTTTCCTCGCTATTCTTTTAGTCCAGACTTCCGCACGTGACAATTTGTTACCGAATTTGTTTGAGGCACACGGATTCGTTTCTTTGTGGGCGCTTGCCTGGAAATGCCGCCGGAGGAGGTGTTGGAGGAGACGTGTGTCCACGACGGCTTTTCCCTCTCCGAAGTGCCGCACGCCGCCTGCCCAGAAACACTTCTATCTGCGTACATCGCCCCGCTTAGCAATCCCGCGTGACTGGCGCTTTCTGGCCGCGTCTCTTCCCTGTCGCACCGCGGTGATCACAGCGCGTTGCTCCAGCGGCGCAGCGGAGAGTGCCGTTCATGTCAGCCACACCGCTACCGTCAGAAGTTGGCCGTGGCGAGGGAGAAAGACACGCACGAGCTGCGCTGTTGTCGTTCTGCCAAAAGAGGCGGAGGCTTTCCCGTGGGCGACGGACACCGCACAGGCGGTGCCTGATTTCACTTCCAAGGCGTGAGTGTGTTGCGCTTTACACCCTGTCCCACTGTCTCTCTCTCCCTCTCTCTCTGCCTCCCTCCGTCTGAAGCTTTCTTTTCTTGCCTGTCCAAGACAAAACAGCAACCACAACGATGATGATGGGAGAAAAGAGAGAAAAAAAAACTAAAAGACTTCCATGCCTACTTCCTTTCTGACAGTCAATGGCCGTGTTGTGCGCCACCCTACTTTTTAACTGTATTGTTCTTCTTTTTGTCCTCTGGGCCTTGTGGGGCTTCTTGTGGTGCCCGCATCGCGGCGGTGGCGGTGCCTGCTTCTCTGTGGCGCCCAGGCACACTTTAGTTTTTTTTTTTCTCGCCCTGCCACCTTTTCACGGACGTGAAATTAAATGGGTCCTCCCCTCGCAGCCGTGTTGGATTTATTTTTCTTTTCCTTTTCTTCCTTTTCTCAGCACGCTTTTCTTTGGTGTGCTGCGCAGCCGCGATGACGCAGGTGTCGCCGAAGGAGCTGTACACACACACGTGCACGCGGTTGGCCTGCCACGTCAACTCACAGCTCATGCGTGACCTCCCCGACACGATGGAGGCGTTGGCCGCAATTAAAAAGCTCGACTTCTCGCGCAGCATGTTAGGAAGAAGCGACGTTGAGCCGCTTGTGCAGGCCATCTTGCGCCACTGCACGGGGCTGCAGGTGCTGAATCTCTCGCAGAACTACCTGACCGACGACAGCGTCGTCCAAATATGTGAGGCGCTCCTGGCAAACACGTTGCTCCTCGTCTCACTCGACCTCTCCAACAACCCCATCTCCAACAAGACGGGGCGCTACCTCCTGCGCTTCATTGAGAGCATGCCGGCACTCAAGTATGTCGGCGTCCACAAGACACTGATGAACGACAGCATGCTCCGCCTCTTCCCGCACCCAAGCAACGGCTGCTGTCCGTCCGTTGCAGGGAGCAGAACCAACACCTTCGCCACTGCTGCCTCCGTGTCAACCCCCAACATGGCCAGCATTGGGAAGGATAGTCAATTAGGTAGTGTGCGCGGCACAGCAAAGGAAGACATTCAATACTCACCGCAAAAATTGCAGTGGCCGGCACTAGAAACATTATGGAGAGCAGCAGCAGTGGCCGCGCCGACAAAAAACAAGTATTCCGGACTCGGCACCCTCGTTTCGTCCACGCGTGTACGACGCCATGAAATAGGCGACGCCCAACGACTACACTTTTCTCCGGAAGAGTCAAGCAAAGGACAGCATCGGGGACATTCGTCGACAGTACATGATAAATCATAGTATGACAAAAAAAATTCACTTCCACTGTACCCGCGTGTATTCTACACAGGTACCATATACAGTATTCGTAATCAAAGGCAAGTCGAACTTGTGATATATATATATATATACATGTGAAATTTTGTTATAACGATAGAAAACCACACTATCATTTTCGTTCTTTTTTCCTTTTTTTTTGTTCGTCTCTCCCCCTCCCCCTCTCCGCTTTGCCTGCGCGCGTGTGCGGGGGAAAGTGCCTGCGCTAAAAGCCATTTACCAATAAGCATTGCATTGAAGAGAGTTTACCATGGCCATCAAGGTCGGCATTAACGGCTTCGGCCGCATTGGACGCATGGTCTTCCAGGCCCTCTGCGAGGCAAACCTTCTCGGGACGGAGATTGACGTCGTGGCGGTGGTGGATATGAGCACGGATGCGGAGTACTTTTCATACCAGATGCGCCACGACTCCGTGCACGGCAAGTTCAAGTACAAGGTGACAACGGCGAAGAGCAACCCATCCGTGGAGAAGGACGACGTGCTGGTGGTGAATGGGCACCGAATCCTCTGCGTGAAGGCGCAGCGCAACCCGGCGGACCTCCCGTGGGGCAAGCTCGGCGTGGAGTATGTAATTGAGTCAACGGGCCTGTTCACCTCCAAGGCGGCGGCGGAGGGCCACTTGCGGGGCGGTGC